TTTTCCTGAACACGGCAAAGGAAGTCCCCTAAATACCTTACCAATTTAACAGGCAAGACAATTTGGCTATGAACGACCTCAGAGCAGTCAGGATGTTCAGAGTATTAAAAGGCAAATTAGCTGACAAGCGCCATCTCTCCTCCACATGCAGCCTGATGTTAAGCAGTTCTACAAGCTGTGAGCAGGGTGTTGTGGCCAGAGAGGCCCATGCCCATTGCTCGCTGGTGTTTCTGCCTGTGCCCTTGTGGGGAGGCGACCATCTCTCGACAGGGATGGAGCAAGTGAACAGGGCTCGGAAAATATTTAACTTGAAAGGCAATCCGAACACAGACGCTGATTTGCCATCAATGGCTTCTGTGTGAGTCAGTCTTTCTAAAAGTAGAAATGCTCCTTTAAAAGAAAAAAAAAAAACCCTCTAAAATCTGTCAACTTTTTTTAAAAAACCAGATCTGTCTTTTGGAATTAGATTTAAATTAAGATAGGATGACTCATTCTGCCAAGGCCTCATTAAAGAGAGACACCTTAAGAAGGCCAGAAGTTTGGACGCTGAGGTTGGACACAGACTGTTCTTCCATTTCGGGAGCTCAGTTTGCCCAAACACAAAGGCATCTGGCAATGCCTATATTTCTTACCCAGCAGGGTCAGCATGCCCCTTGGCAGCCTGGGCCCATGTTCAGATTGACAGGCTAAGTTAACTGTCCATGGCCAAGGTAATAACCATTTGGTACAGCCACATTGAAGCTAATTATTGAAGTTAATTAACAAGATGCCTAATTAGCTTATTAGCCATCTGACAATGAAGAACCCTCTAAAGGTCACGTGGGGACTGGTCACTCCTCTGTTGTTGTATTCTGGCTAAAGAGCAAAGTCAGAAAAATATTTACCTACGAAAGCAGAACAAAAATTGCTAAAGATCAGAGGCACCATGGTAACACTCTGTTCTGAGTGCTGTGCCGCATCTAAAAGACACGTGATAATGATAACAATTTCTGGGACATTGTATTAGATAATGCCTGCTGCAAAGGGACAAGTGACAGAGCCATTGTTCGCTTACGTTAAACCTGTTTATTCCTTTCACTTAAAATCTCAGGGGAATATACTCATTCACATGAAAACAAGTCCCTTTTGGAATAAATTGCTCGAGAGATTTTTCCAATGCAGAAGAAGTGCTACCTGGTGACAAACGTAAATGGTGATCTCGTCCCCACTCACCCCTCCCGTCTACGTGTGCCTATTCAGGCCTGTCTTTGTGATTAGGTTTTGTACTTATTTTCTGGCCAGCTAAAGTAACATGATATAATACATGACACAAATGCCACCTGTAGCTTAGTGCCTGAGACCAGGCAAATTCACCTAAGTCCACGGAGACCAGGCGGGATCAGAGAGGCATAGGTCTGGGGACCCAATTGGCCTAAGTTTGATGTCTGGCTCTGCCACTTGCTATGTGACTCAGGAAAATCCCTTGGCCACGCTGGACACAACTGGCAGTGTCGTATGGAGTGGACACAGTATGAAGCAGGCATCCTGTAGGTCCTATGGCTGTCTTTAGGGAACAGGGAACACGATGGCTGTTGATGTATTAGCCCATTCATTTACGGACCTCTTCCTGTACACCAGGCTCTGAAGGAGCTCTGAGGATCCTTCAGAGCCTGACGTCCCAGAGGGCATCAATCCCTCTGGAACAGGGGCCACTCCACTCCCCCAGTTTCTGACTCCATCGCAGCTGCCTTCAGTTTTCATGAAGCGCTGATGCTCAACTTTTTGATTCAGAACACATGTATAATCTTAAAAATGATCATAGACCCTGTATTGGTTTTCTGTTGCTGCTGTAATGGCCTACAACAAAGTCATTGGCATGAGACTCTGTAAACTCACCAGCACACTATTCTGGAGGCCAGAGGACTTGAGGGTCCCCCAAGGTCAGCAGACCACACTTTGCAAGCCAGGGCCATAGAGCACCATCACCCCAAGACACAGAACCAAGTGGGGGATTGTCTGACGCCTTCTGGTTTTTTAGGACTCACAGAGGCAGCTCCAGGTAGCAAACACACTTCTGCAATGAACAAGGTCCTGATTTACACCCTTTGAAATTTGTATTTACCCTTAGAACCTGTAGCTCTCTCATCTAAAAGTTAAAATTAGGATTTTCCTAACAGCTTCAGAATTTTATAGTGAGGCTCAAACTTTGATGATGTATGTGAAAATTAGTTTTCTTACTTTATTATAAACAACTAACATAAATTGTATACATTTAGCATACAATGACTTTGTTTTCAGTTTTTGGTTTTTTGCTAGTACATTATTGCAGTACATAATGATCACATTCTTCAGAGGGAGCTGGAATTTTAACCTATAGATTTACCTTGCTGCCATCACTGGGGCCAAAACCATGACCACAGCCATGTAACTGCCAGCGGCTTCCGCTGCGCCTCTCTTCGCTTCCTATGTGTCAGCTTCCTATTTTCTAGACTTTCATATAAATAAATTATACTGCATATACTCTCTTCTGACTGCTTTCTTCCACTCCCCAGAATTATTTTGATATTCATCCATATTGTGGCATGTACTAATACGTAGTTCGTTTCTTTTCACCTCTGAGCAGTGTTCACCTACGGACCACCATTTGGATTTTTGTTAGTATGAGACAAGTAAAGATAAAACTGTTTTGAGGGGCCGGGGAGATGGCTCAGTGGAGTAAGTGCCTCCCTGGCAAGTACAAGAGCCAGAGTTTAATCCCCGGTTCTGAAAAACAAAACAAAACAAAACAAAACAAAACAAAACAAAACAAAACAAAACAAAACAAAACAAAACAAAAACTGTTTTGAATGTTTGTGTGTGAATTTTTGCAGGAACTTATTCTTTCACTTCACTTTGGTAAATATCCAGGATAGCATAGCAGGGCCATATTATAGGGACAGGTGTAGTATTTTAGAAATTTCCACTATTTTCAAAAGTGATTGCTCTGGGCCGGGGAGATGGCTCAGTGGAATAAGCGCTTCCCTGGCAAGCGCAAGGGCCTGAGTTCAATCCCCGGTTCCGCAAAAAAAAAAAAAAACAGTGATTGCCCTATTTTATAATCCTACTATCAGTGTATTTGAATTTCTAGTCATCCTAGTAGGTATTTATGTATTAAAGCAATTTTAATGCCAAAAATCTGTATGCAAATGTAAGTTTTACAAACCACACTTCACTATTGAGTATCATTTCAAAGCATGCAGCTTTACTTGAATATACTTTACAATCACTTGTTACTTGTCCTGTAAATATTTTTCAAGGTTTAGGGTCATTTTAAATGCTTAATAAAATTATAAATACATCAACAACAATGGTGGGGGTTTTTATTTCTTTGATTTTTCAAGAATTAAACTCTCAGTAAGAATATTCTCTTCCTACCTGTCTCTCCAAATTACTTTGTATCCATACTTATACTCACTCAAACAGACATACCCTTGGAGGAATTTCCAAATTAAAAGGCCACAGGTCCCACTGACACTGATGGTTTCTGTTGATTTTGTCTTATCATGAAGTCATTAGGCCAGTTCTTATTTTCATTGCAAAGGTGACTGCAGCAAGACGATTCAGAACTTGAGATGACTGGAGGCAAAACATGTGCAGAATCTTCTTGCAGCTACTTTTGAAACAGAAATAACCTACACAGTGCAATCCATCTCAGACACCCCCCAGCGCACACTGAATCCCAGGCCAGACAGCCTTGCTCACTCTGATTGCTAAGGAGGAAAAACATAAATCATTAAATAGCAGGGAAGACCATGATTTCTAAAAATAAGCACTAATGAGATACTTTTTAAAGACAAATGCTTTATTTCCTGTTTTTCCTTCAATGTTAATTTATCGAGTTGCTGCCTATTGTTAATCCTTTTCACCAGTGTTAATGACTTGATAATTTATAAAACTCTTCTAGATACATTATCTCAATAAATCTAGAAGGAATGTGCTTTTTATAAATTAACAGCAACAGCAAAGCAAGAAAGCTAGAGTCTCAGGAAAGCTAAGGGACTTACTCAATTATACTCTATTAGTTTTCTATTACTGTGTCAAAAATTACCACAAACTTAGTATCCTAAAATCACAAATCTTCACATCAACACATCTGTGGTCAGGAGTCCAGGCCCGAATTGGCTGAGATCCCTGGTCTGAAATCAAGGCCTTGACAGGGGTGTAATCTTATGTGAGGTTTGGTTCTCTTCCAAACTCCCATGGTTGCTGGAAAAATTTACTTCCTTTCAGTTCTTTTAGAAATTGAGTTGCAAGTTCTGTTGCTGTTGCTTGCTGGCTCTCAATGATGGCTGGTCTCTGCTCTCTTAGGTCCCTCTTCCAGCTTGGTAACTTGGCCTTCTCAACACAGCAGACTTTCCTAAACCCAAAGGGAGAATTTCTCTTCGGTTTGCAGTGGTCAACTCTTCTGTGATGTGAGGCAACGGGAGTCACTGCGCTAGCATGTGTTAGTC